ATTCCGACTCCAACTCCGACTCAGACTCCTCCGACCCCGACTCCTCCTCCGAATCCGATTCCAACTCCGATTCCGACTCCTCCTCCGACTCCGACTCCAACTCCGACTCCGACTCCTCCGGCTCCGACTCCTCCTCCGACTCCAACTCCGACTCCGACTCCGACTCCGACTCCTCCGCCTCCGACTCCGACTCCTCCTCCGTTTCCGACTCCGATTCCGACTCCGACTCCGACTCCGATTCCTCCGACTCCGACTCTTCTTCCGACTCCGACTCCGACTCCAACTCCGACTCCGACTCCTCCTCCGATTCCGACTCCAACTCCGACTCCTCCGACTCCTCCTCCTCCTCCGACTCCGACTCCAATTCCGACTCCGACTCCTCCGATTCCTCCTCCGACTCCGATTCCGACTCCGACTCCTCCGACTCCGATTCCTCGTCCGATTCCGATTCCAATTCCGACTCCTCCTCCTCCTCCTCCTCCTCGACTCCGACTCCTCCTCCGACTCCGACTCCAACTCCAACTCCGACTCCTCCGACCCCGACTCCGACTCCGACTCCGACTCCAATTCCGACTCCTCCGATTCCTCCTCCGACCCCGACTCCGACTCCGACTCCGACTCCAATTCCGACTCCGATTCCTCCGATTCCGACTCCTCCGACTCCGACTCCTCCTCCGACTCCGACTCCGACTCCAGCTCCGACTCCTCCGACTCCGACTCCGACTCCGACTCCTCCTCCGACTCCGACTCAAAATCCGATTCCTCCTCCTCCTCTTCCTCCTCCTCCTCTTTTCTTTCCTCTTCCTCCGCCTGCACGTCCTCGTCCTCCTCTTCCTCCTCCTCCTCCTCCACCTCCTCCTCCTCCTCCTCCTCGCCCGTCCTCCTCATCCTCCTCATTTTCCTCATCCTCCCGCTTTCCTCCCTTCTCCCCCTCCCTTCCCCCCTCCTCCTCCTCCTCCTCCTCCTCCTCCTCCTCCTCCTCCTCCTCGTCATCCTCCTCTCACCTTCCTCCCCTCTCCTTTTCCCTCCTTCCACCTCCGATCCTCTGATGCTGCTGTTGCTCCTCCTCCTCGGGTTGCTCTTCTTATTTTTCTTCTTATTATCATTCGTATTATTCTTATTATTCTTCTCCTCCTCCTCCTCATCATCCTCATCCTCCGCCTCTTCCTCCTCCAGGGAGGGTTTGCGACGTTCCGTAGGTTTGTCGGCGGAGCTGGGTTTTACAGTCTATCGTTCTTCCTCGCGCTCCTCTGTGAGTGCTCGCGTTCGTGGTCATTCATGGCGCAATCATGCACACGTTAGCTGTACACCACATCTCTTCGCAGCCGTCCGACGGGAAAACTCCTACGACTCCAGCTGCTGCTGCTGCTGCTCCTCCTCCTCCTCCGGAGTCCACCTCATCCAGAGTCCTCCTCTCCCTCCTCCTGCTCCTTCTCAGGCTGACTCTCCTGCTGCTGCTCCTCCTCCTCCCGCTTCTTCTCCTCCTTCTCCCCCGACTGGCCCGTTGGCTCTACCACGACCCCCAGCGGCTCAGCCGAAGAGGATCCGCCGAACAGGACTTCTGCCGAAGCGGATCTGCCGAAGAGGCTCTGCCGACGCGGCGTCTGCCGAAGCGGCCCTGCCGAAACGGCTCTGCCGAGGCGGCTCTGCCGAAACGGCTCTGCCGAAGCGGTGTCTGCCGAAGCAGTCGTCAGCCGAAGCGGTTCTGCCGAAGCGGTCTGCCGAGACGGACTTGCCGAAACGGTTTGCCGAAACGGTTCTGCCGAAACGGACTTCCGCCGACGCGGACTTGTACCGTCAGACCCCGGATCTGCCGCGAGATACGGTGTTCAGGCCATTTTCGCCTGATACGCCCTCGCACCTCTAACTTCGATGATGCCCTACCCCATGGCGGTCCGGCCACTTACGCCTGCGACATCTTCGCAACAGCGGATTCCGAGACGGCTGAAGCTGACCTGTTCAAGCCATTTTCGCATGAGACATCCTCGTAACCCTCGGTTCTGAGATGCCCTGAGCTGAATGCTCAGGCCACTTTCGCCTTAAACATCTTAAAAGATCTGACCTCGGATATGCCCTGCCCCAAGTTGGTTCGGCCACTGTCGCCTGAGACCCTCGCAGGGCCTACACTACCACGCAGATCATTGTATACAACGGGATAAGCTCGGACCCCTGCGGAACTCCGTCCGCACTAGAACCAATCACAAAACTCACGCTGATCAGGGACAGCCGCCCCAGAGCCGTCGCCGTCGTCGTCGTGGCGGGAGCCTGACAACAGGCCGATAAATCGATAAACCGATAAACCGGTAAACCAATATGCGACGCAAGGATCGACTCCTCAGGGTTGCCCCCAGCGGTTTCAGACCAGCCAGTCACCCGATGAGCCGATAAACCGATAAACCGATAATCCGACGAAGAGAAAGAGAGCCCGCCGGCCATCGTCTCTACGTTTGCAGATAAAGGTTATCGGTTGATCGGTTTATCGGTCGGATGGATTTCCAGAGGCCGTTGCCGCTGCAGTATACATATACATATATATATATATATGTTGTGATTATTATTTCTATCATTACTATTATCAGTATTAATATTCTGATTTGTATCATTATTATTATCATTATTATTGGTAGTGTTCTCTCTTGTTTATATTACTATTATTATTGTCGTTGTTCTTTATTGTTCTTACTGGTAGTATCATTATTTATTATTATTATTATTTTTTATTACTATCGTGATTATTTTCATTATTCTTATGCTTATTACTATGCATTATTATTATTGCTATTATTCTTATTCCTGTTCTTATTCTTCCTATTATACATATCTGAACATATCTACATGGTTTGATTATCTATGTTTTCAGCACCATTGTGTTTTGTGGCGTTCTGGTGTACAATCTGGAGGCGATTGCGGGGTGCGCGCTTCGCAGCCGAGGATGTTGCCACCGTGCAGGTCCATTGGTCCCTTGTCCTTCCAGTGGGCGTCTGCAGCAGTGGCAGTGCACATTGGCGCTGCTCCTCCTCCTCCTCCTCCTTCTCCTCCTCCCGTGGCGCTGCTCAGCATTGCGTGCGCCCTCCCTCTCAAGCTGGTGAGGGAATTCGGAAGGCCCTCTCCTCGGCGGTGGCGGAGGTGGTTTTGGTGCGCCACCCGCCAGGGGATTAGGCCTGAGCGGGCCTCCACACATTCGTATTGCCGTGCGGCTGGGAAACCCTGGACGGAACGATGCATTGTAGCATCACTGGTGTGTTCTGGCTTTTCTCTCTGTCCGCTTCTTTTGGTTGTCCTCGTCCCTTTTCTACTCCTTTTCCTCCTCCACAGTTTCAGCGTCCGAGTGACGGTCTCCTCTCTGCTCTGATGCCGTGTCCAGTTGTGCCCGCCCATGCCGCTTATTTTCACACGCAGGATTGCGTCGAGCTGGCATCCGGCATGTCAGTCGTGCTCAAGTCATTGTCGGACTTTCTACGGTGCTGCATTTTGCCACAGGTAATGATCCCCAGAGTGCCTCCGTCCAACGTGCAACAGCAGTCTCGTTGTGGCCTTGAGTCGCACTCTTGCGGGGGTGAACGTGGGGCTTCTGTTGCAGGGCTCTGCCGCATCTGGGGATTGCCGTCGTTTTTTTCGGACGGGAACGACGCTCTCGTCGCACCGGCAGCCTGATTCCTTCATCAGCGGCAGCGGTGCCCTCGCTGCAGCGTGTGCGACAAGCAACTATCTATGCAGATGCCCGGTCCAACAGTCCCGCATCAGCGCAAGTGGTGCTCCCGCTGCAGCGAGTGCCACAGTGCACAATGTCTGACGGGCTTCCGTTGAACGCTGGTCGCACCCCTGCATCCGCATATGCCTTGTGTCACCCCAGAACGACTCTGGCGTGTCGTATTTTCCTGTGCATAGTGCCAGTGCTTTGATGCGCGAATGTTTCAGTTACACTGCACTTTCGGGGTCAAGGCCGTCCCCGTTTCCGGCTTTGCGAATAGGGAGGGGTTCAACGCGATGGGAAAGGATGGGAGGAAGGGGCAAGGCAACAGATATGGCGCGAACGCACCTGGCCTGCACCCCCCTCCCCTTCTCCCCATCACTCTCCCCTCTCCCCCTCTCCACAATTACACAATATGAATACTACTCTCCCACTTCCCCTGATGGCGTCCGGAAGATGTTCGGCACCCCCCCGCGTACTGTTTTTTTACACACAGGATTCCCCGGAGTTGGGTTTTCGCTTGTGTTTTTTTCAAAAATGCTGCTCTCGCTGAGGCGTTGGCCTAATTTTCGGGCTCCCGCTCCTTCCGAATCGTGTTCCCGCTGCAGCGCTGGCCTCATTTCCGCGCTCCCGCTCGTTCCGAATCGTGCTCCCGCTGCAGCGCTGGCCCAATTTCTGCGCCTCTCGTTGTTCCAAAACGTGCTCCCGCTGCAGCGCCGACGTTTTCGATCCTTTTTAAGAAGCCCCAAATCTAGAAAATGATCCCCGGCAAAAACATTGGAGGTGATTACACATCCGGTGTCGATTCGTTGATTTTTGGGGCCGCAGAAAGCCCCCCCCCCCTTTTGGGCGGCGTCCTTTTCCGCACAGGATTCCCGGGAGTTTGGTTTTCATCTATGTTTTTGAAAATCCGAGTCTTTCCGGTCCTTCAATCCGGGTGGGGGACGCGCGTAACGGCAGCGGGCAGCTGGCGCGGGTGCCGCTCCGGCGCGGTCGCGTCGTCGTCGTCGTCGTCTTCGTCGCCGGTCGTCCTCATCGTCGGCGTCGTCGTCGTCGCCGCCGTCGTCGTCGTCGTCGTGGTTGTCGTCGTCGTCGTCGTCTTCGTCGTCGTCGTCTTCGTTTTCATCGCGCCGTCGTCCTCCTCCTTTCCCTCTTAGGTAACAGGGTCAGATGCGAAGCCCGATTCGGTGAGAGGACAATGAAGTAGCTCAATGGGAAGGGATGGGAGGGAGGGGTAGGATGTCAGATGTTGACGCGAGCGCACCTAGCTTGTCTCACGCCCCTCCCCTCTTCCCTCCCCTTTCCTCAGGCATCGTGGAGGAGATGGGGGAGGTCCTCACCATCACGAGGAAGGCCCGGCCCCCCCCGCCCTCTTCTGCCCCTCTGCGCTCCTTGATCCCCCCTCGTCCCGGGTGGCGGTGCTCGTCGCTGCTCGGGAGGGTGGAGGAGAGAGGGGGGATAGGGGAGGGGACGACAAAAGTGGATGGATGGTGATGAGGAGAAGGGATGAGGAGGGAGAGGGAGGATGACGGACATGATGAGGAGGGGGAGGAGGATGCCGCTGCTGATGATGATGACGACGACGACAATAGTTATGGTGGTGGTGATGATGATGACGATGACGACGATAATGATGATGAAAATGATGATGATGATGCTGTTGTTGATGATGATGATGCTGCTGCTGATGATGATGCTGTTGACGATAATGCTGACGTTGATGAGGCTGATGATGATGGTGACGATGATCATACTGATGATGATGGTGGTGGTGATGATGATGCAGCTGATGCTGATCCTGATGATGGTGATGCCAAGGATTTTGTTGGTGCTGCCGTTGATGATTATTATTATGATGATGACAATGATTCTGCTGTTGATGATAGTGATGATGGTGGTGGTGGTGATGATGGTGATGCTGATGATGTTAATGATGAAGAGGAGGATGGCTGCTACTGCTGTTATTGCTGCTCCTGCCAATGATGATGCTGATGATGATGATGCTAATGCTGCTCATGGTGCTGTTGCTGATGATGATTATGATGCTGATTATGATGATGATGGTGATGATGATGACGAGGATGAATATGCCACTGTAGATACTGTTGCTGATGAGGACTATGGTCATGGTAATGCTGATGTTGATGATGCTGATGATGATGCTGCTGCTGATGATGGAAATGGTGATGATGCTGATGATGATGATGCTGACGATGATGATGCTGATACTGTTGATGATGATGATGACGAGGAAGATGATGATGATGATGATGATGATGATGATGATGATGATGATGATGATGATGATGATGATGATGATGATGATGATGGTGGTGGTGATGATGATGATGATGATCATACTGATGATGATGGTGGTGGTGATGATGCTGCTGATGATGATGCTGCCGCTGATGATGATGATGATGATGATGGCGATGATGATGACGATGATGAGGAAGATGAGGATGATGATGCTGCTGCTGATGATGATGATGATAAGGATGAGGATGAGGATGATGATGATGATGATGATGACGAATAAGAAGAATATGACGATGTTGATGATGATGATGATGATGATGATGATGATGATGATGATGATGATGATGATGATGATGATGATGATGATGATGATGATGATGATGATGATGATGATGATGATGATGATTACGATGCTGATGCTACTGCCGATGAGGATGCTGATGATAGTTCTTGACGTTTCGCGTATCTACAGCAGGGTAAGCTCATCTCGGCCGGCCTCAACAAGATCCTCTCGACGCTTGCCTTCCACGTGCTCATCTATCTGGTGGCGGGGCTACACCCGCACGAGTTCTCGCTGGCAGAAACACCGCGACAACCTGGCAGACTCGACCGCAAGGCTGGGTCGCACCTGGGCTTCCTGTTCGACATGTCCCTGGGTCTAGACGCGACCAATCTAGTCTACAACATGCTCTGGGCAGCCATTGTGTGGACGCTCGGCCTTGGCACTCCCTGGGATGACGCAAACCACGCAGTGCACGACGACTCCCTCCCCCCGGTGCCGCACGTCAAAGGACGGCGTGTAACACTCTGTGGTCGGCGCCAGTGCACCCCCAAGGGACTCTTCCGGCAGGTTCCCCAGGCGTGGAGTGCAGCAACCAAAGATTGCTGCAGACACAGGAAACACCCTGGAATGGCTGGCCTACAGGAGACTCTCAGCGGCGCCCCCGACGACCCAGAGTGGGACCAGTTCCGGAAGGAAATTAAAGACACAGATGGCCTCCCCATGGGATCCTGCAAGACCCGGTCGCTCTTGGTCGTCGTGATGTTAATGCTCCGCGAGCCACGCGTGTTCTTGTGGCCTTTCCCTCACGCAGAGCAGGCTGGGGATGTGATCGAAGCCATCCTGGGTTTCTGTGTCCCATGGCAAGAAGCGCACCGAGGGTTTCGGCACGACTTCGCAAGAACCTGGGGACTCACGCTGGACGACCTGGCCAACCTCCACGGTCGCATCGAGGCAATCCTGCCCCACATCTCCAAGCTCGTAGCGGTGGCGCACCACCGCCCGGACGCGCAGGCAGCCGGCTGCCCGCAGACCTGGAGTGAAATGGACAGGCAGGACTTTCAGCTGAAGGCGCCGATGCTCGTCCTCGAGAAGATCGTCCCAGCCGCCTCCCTGGCCCCCCTGGGTACGCACCGCTGCTCGGTGTGCGCGCTTCACGTCGCGCTCGCGGGCTCTGACGCCTCCCTGGGTGACGACGATCGGTGTGCTGGGCTCGCCTACATCGGCGGCGGATTCGCGCTATCCAACACCGACCTGAACGCCCCCTTGCCATCCACCCCCGCCCCAGGCACCAAGCAGGACCCTCCACGCATTCCCGACGACAGGCTGACAGCCGAACAGAAGAACGGCAGGTTCAAGTGCGACAGGTGCGGTAAGGACCAGCTACGCTCCACAGAAGGCACGTGGATGTCTGACGACACACGCCTGATGGTAGCACAGAACCGGCCCCAGGCCTACCTCGACGGTGCGAACATGGGATGGCACTGCGAGATCTGCTGGATCCGACACCTGGAGGACCAGGGCATCCCAGCACCAACTGGCGCAACAGTTGCGGACAAGGTCAAGGAACACGAGCAGCAGAGGATCGGTGCCGCAAGCGACAAAAAGGCGGACGCCCTCTCCCCCCTGGGTCACTTCCCACTTGGCTTTGGATGCAGCCCCCAGGCGGACACGAGATCGCTGTCGGACCTCATCATGACGCCGACGGGCATGCAGATCCCTGAGCGCGCCAACACCACCATTCCCATCCTACGGGTCAGAGATGAGCGATTTGGCCTCGAAGCTGCGGAGAACAAATTCTACTCCGCACGGTGCGACACATGCCCCCCAGGGGCACCGCTCCTCGTCTCGAACGCCGGATCACCTCCCCTGGGCTGCTTCATATGGAAGCCAGCGGAGGGGGTAGGGTTCCCGAGCAAGCTGGGCTGCCTCCCATCGAGCGGCGAGCCATAGCCTGGTGGGAGCGCAACTGGAACGCCACTTGGTGCTGCCGACGTTGCCTGGTCCCCGTGTGGAACATCGGTCCTGCAACCCTGGACCACATCCTCGATAGAGACTACAGGGCGGTGTACCCAGCCGAGGCCCCTGTCCTCCCAACGCTCAACAGCCAGATAGTAGCGGAGGTGCCAGTGGACATTTTCAGTTCTCTTCCATGGATAGGCGCTGACGCCAAGGCCCAAGATCGTTTCGCCAAAGCAGGAGCGGCAAACCTCCCTGGGTCTAGCGCCTCGAGTGGAGCGGCCCCCGCGGCCGAGCAAGCCCCCAGGACTCTTTCACAGCTCATGGAACTCCTGCCAGAGCTGCCAGCCCCGCAGGGGCCGCTCCTGGACAGCAGGGACGTCAACAACCCCACGCTGAGGCCAGACGACCCCAGGAGCGGATCGGGCAGCGGAGACGCGGCTGTCCAGCGACTCCTGGTAACCTATCTCCGGGACTTCACCCTGGATTGGATTACACTTGGCGACAGTTTTGTCACGGCCATCGCGACGGCAGCATCCCAGAGCCTGAGAACGAAGAAGCCTCCTGGCCAGTCGGACGGTTGACGGAGTTTCTCAGGACGGCGTACGGCGAATGCATCTCGAAGGACTGTTCCCCGCTCAACCAGCCCTGGGAAGGCAAACGGCTGGCCGCCGCGCGGGTCGTCTCCCACCTCGCCAACGGCGAAAAACACGAGGAGTCCTGGGGGAAGCACGCCTTGGCCCTCGCCCCGGCGAGTGGCTTCAACCACGTCAGACACGAGATGGGCACGCTGACGAGTTTCCTACGCAGCCTCAGCGCCGACGCCCTGGCTTCGGCAACCATCGCCTCCCTTGCCGAGTCGCACGTGCAGACAGTGAGTGAGGACAGACCAAACGCCTCTATTGCGGCCGGTGCAGACAACCCCTTGGGTACGAAAGACGACGACACGCGTCTTGGCAACCCGAATTTGCCTGGCCGCGCTGCCAAAGACGAGGGCGGTGAAGACGAAGTCCCTCTTACTGAAAAAGCGGATTCAGCCGACTTTGGATGCCCCCAAGAATCTCCTCCTCCTGGATCCTGTACGGGCTCGGCCACGGAGGTCGACGACGATGGCCCCGGCGACGAGGCGCCTCAGCAGAGCCCAACGGCAGACAGCATGGAACCCAGCTCCGACCGCGACCCGATAGCCGCCTGGGGTGGCCCAGCCAACACCGACCAAAATGCCAGTGGAGCCAGGGGGCCAGATCACGACGAAGTCGCCCGCGACAGGGGTGATGCGCAGGGTCGTCGTCCCCCACTACGTAACCCACAGGCACCTGGCCATAGGCTTGCCTACTCTCGATCAGCGGAGCGACGCGCACTCAACCAGCTGACCGACTCCCATGGAGGCCCCATGTAGAAGGCTTGGTTGGGCTCCGTGGACTTGGGGCGCCGCGGAGAGCCACCCGCCAAGCGCATCACCAGACACCAAACGGAGTTGGGTGGAGTATTCTGTGCTCTGTGGACGGCCTACACACAAGGCATTCGGCTCCCTGGGTCCAGGGAACCCAAGTCAGACCCGAGGCTGCACTCGGACGCGACCATCGACAAGTTTTTGGAGGACTGGAAGGGTTGCGGATACAACGCCTACTTAATGGACAGGAGGTTCAACTTCCGCATCGATTGGGCAACAGTGCGGGCCGAGTACCTGCGCCACACACGGCCCGATGGCACGGGCCAGGGCAACCACCAGCAGAGCAGCTGGCGCGAGCGGGCGACAAGCTCCTGGGACGCCTGGGGCACCTGGCAGAGTGACTGGAGCGCTGGCTGGCACGACGACCGTTGGCGTTCGGGAGGCAAGCGTGGTGGAGGC